TGCAGCCTCACAGTGCCAGGGACCCGGGTTCGATTCCAGCCTCAGGTGACTGTCTGTGTGGAGTTTGTACATTCTCCCGTGTCTGCGTGGGTTTCCTCTGGGAGCTCCGGTTTCCTCCCACAGTCCAAAGATGTGCAGGCTGGGTGGATTGGCCATGATAAATTGCCCATAGGGATGTGTAGATTAGGTGGGTTATAGGGGGATGGGTCTGGGTGGGATGCTCCAAGGGTCGGTGTGGACTTGTTGGGCCGAAGGGCCTGTTTCCACACTGTAGGGATTCTATGTGATTCTAGATAAAGTGGTTAAGAAGGCATACGGGATATTTACCTTTCTTAATCGAGGCAGAGTTGAAGAGCAGGGGAGGTGACGCAAGAACTGTTTAAAACATTGGTTAGGCTACAATGAGAGTATTGTGTGCAGTTCTGGAATCCACATTATAGGAAGGAGGTGATTTCACGGGAGAGGATGCAGTGGAGATTTACCAGGATGTTGCCTGGGCTGAGGGATTTCAGCTATGAGGACAGATTGAGGTTGCTGACTTGCTCACGGAGCTGGCTTTTTCTCGTTCAGACATTTTGTCACCGTGATAGGTGACATCATCAGTGGAGCCTCCAATGAAGCGGTGTTATTCTACTCAGCTTGGAATTTATACTGTTTGGTCAGTTATGATGAGTACTGTCGTTTCTGGTTTTGATCAGTATGGGTTAGTATAAGGGGTCCAATTCTATGTGTTTGTTGATTGCATTACGGGTGGAGAACCATGCCTCTAGGAATTCCAGTGTGTGTCTATGTTTGGCTTGGGCTACTATGGTTACCTTGTCCCAGTTGGACTGATGAACTTCACTGTCTGAGTGTCCCAATATTAAGGAGAGTTCGTCATGCCGTTTTGCTGCTAGCTGATGTTCATGTATTCTGATGGCTAGTTTCCTTCCTGTCTGTCAGATGTAATGTTTCTGGCAGTTGTTGCATGGTATTTGTAAACCATGTTGGCTCTGCATGTTGTGAGAATGGGGTCTTTATTCCTTGTGTTTGTCGTAGAGTGGCTGTGGGCTTGTGGCCACCATGATTCCTTGTGGTCTTAGGAGTCTTGTTGTCAGTTCCAATATGTTCTTGATGTGTGGCAGTGTGGCCAGTGTATTAGGACGTACTGTGTCTTCCTGTTGTTGTCTGTTTAGTAGGCATCTGCAGATGAAGGTCCGGGGATATCCGTTTATAGCGAGGATTTTGTATAGGTGCTCTTCCTTTTTCCTGCGTAGTTCCGGGGTGTTGCAGTGTGTTCTAGCCCATTTAAATAGTGTCCTAATGCAGCTTTGTTTGTGGGCGTTGGTGGTTGCTGTAGAAATTGAGGATTTGATCAGTATGGGGTGCTTTTCTGTATTGCGAGGTTTGGAACTCCCCGTTGGTCATGCGCTCAACTTTAACATCCAGAAACAGAAGTTGATTGTTGTTTTCTTCTTCCCTTATGAATTTAATCTTGCAAATACGCTTTGATGAGATGGTGGGTCTCCTCTAATTTGTTGCGTTTAATAATGACAAATGTGTCATCTACGTACTGGATCCACAGCTTAGGTTGAATGCGGAAGAGGGTGGCATGTTTTAGACTTTGCATGACTGCTTCTGCAATGAGTCCTGAGATGGGTGACCCCAATGGCATACTGTTGATCTACTTGTATACTTGACCATTAAAGAGGAAGTGTGTGGTGAGGCAAAAGTCCAGTAATTTGAGAATGTTGTCATTGCTGATTGAGCTGCTGGTCTGTGTTGCTGCTTCCTCTAGTAATGTCAACAAACACACAGAATTGGACCCCATATACAAACCCATACAGATCAAAACGAGAAATGACAGTACTCACCATAACGGACTGGACAGTATAAATTCCAAGCGGGGTAGAATAACATTGCTTCATTGGAGGGTCCACTGATGACGGCACCTAGCATGGTGATGAAACATCTGAACGAGAACAAGCCAGCTCAGCGAGGAAGTCAACAACCTCATCCACAACCCAAGCTACAGATCTTTGACAAAACTTTGAATGAGGCCAGACTGGATAGACAAAGGTTGTTTTCCTTACAGAGGAGCAGACTGAGGTGGGGGTCATGGCTGAGATGCATAAAATTAAGAGGGCATAGACAGGTTGACAGGAAAAAAAACATCTTCCCTTAGTGGAAGGATCAATGATCATGGGCACAGATTTAATGTAAAGGGAGAAGATTTAAAGAGGATGTCAGGATTTTTTTTTCATGCAGAGGGTGTTGGGAATCTGGAACTCACTGCCAGTAAGGTGGCAGAGGTAGAAACCCTCATAACATTTAAGACATACACCGGCAATGCCATGGCATACAAAGCCTTGGTCCAAATGCTAGAAGATAGATTAGAATAGCCTGGCAGTGGTTTTTGACCAATGCAGATTCAAGAGAGCCTTTTTTTGTGCTGTAGATATCTATAATGCTAACAGTAACTGCCCATGACATCAAGGCAGCACTTAACCAAGTTTGGCCCCAAGGAAGTCAAGCAAAATTGACATCAATAGAAATCAGGGGGAAAACTCCATACTGGTTGCAGTCGTATCCAACGTAATGGAAGACGGTCACAGAATAGAATCCCCAGAGCGTGGAAACATGCCATGCAGCCCAACAAAGTCCACACAACCCTCCAAAAAGCATCCCACCCAGACCCATCCCCCTACCCTATCTCTGTAACCCTAATCTACATATCCCTGAATACTGTGGATAATTTAGCATTATCTATCCACCTAATTTGCATATTTTTGGCCTGTGTTAGGAAGCTAGAGCACCAAGGGACATTCAAGCAGACACGGGGAGAATGTGCAAACCCAGGTCCCTGGCACTGTGAGGCAGCAGTGCTAACCACTCAGCCACCGTGCAGGAGTCCCGACCTAAATTTTTAAATGGTCTCTGGCCACAAGGAGATGCCAGAGGGCTGGAGAGAAGGTCATGGTTGTTGGGAGTCAATCATCTCAGCCCCAGGACATCATTATCTTGAGCTACGTGGAGCGAACTGAATTGGATGAACATTGCCAGGGGACACTGGGGGCTTGAGGAGAGGCTGAGATGGGTTATCCACTTGCCACTTCTGGCTGAAGACGGATGCAAATGCTTTGTCTCTGGTACAAATATGGTGAGCTACTCCATCATTAAGGTTGTGTTTATTTACAAAGCCTCCTCTTCCTGTTAGGTGTTTAATTGTTGACCCGACTGCCATTTACGATTGATAATGGCTGGTCTGCAAAGCTTAAATCTGTTCTGTCCATTATAAGATCATTTACCCTTTTAGCACCTGCTTCCACTATTTGGCATGTTTCAAATGGATATATATCGTCTTGATTTTCCAATAATGACAGCAAATCTCATTTGAACATTCAAGATTGGGAAGGGACTTGACGGGGCAGATGCTGACAGTTTGATACCCCTGGCTGGAAAATGCAAAAATAAGTTGACACAGTTTTTGGCTATGGAGCTGATCATTTGGAACCAAGATAAAAAGAAATGTCCTTATTCAAAGGGCTGTGAATCTTTGGACTTCTCTACCCAGAGGTCTAAGGATGCATGTTGCGAAGTTGAGTAGAGTACTTGTAGGAAGTCAGAATTTGGTGTTTGTAAAATGCTAGGATGGGAAAGCAGTGCATGGTCCCTTTAAAAGATGATGTGCTTTTTCTATGCTTCGAGATTCAAAAAGAATGTCTGAGGGCAGCAGCTTGAAGGTTTGCAGGTGCACAGAGATCACCCAGCTATGGTACGACTAGTTAATATTCCTGACAGAAGAATCAACAGAGAAGACATTTCTGACAGAACATTCAATGAGAAGGCACAGAACATTCCGGAAGACACGTAACCTGGCTATAATTTCGAGAGACTAACGTTCTTGTTTATTTTATATAAGTGGGATTTGTATTTATTGGAACAACATAATAGGTGGCACAATGGCTCAGTGGTTAGCACCGCTGCGTCACAGCACCAGGAACCCGGGTTTGATTCCACTGTCAGGCGACTACGTGATGTTTGCACATTCTCCCCATGACTGCATGTGTTTCCTCTGGGTGCTCCAGTTTCCTCCCACAGTCCCAAGTTGTGCAGGCTAGGTGGATTGGCCATGCTAAATTGCCCAGAGTGTTCAAGGATGCGTAGATTTGGTGGGTTATTGGGGGATGAGTCTGGGTGGGATGCTCCGAGGGTCGGTATGGACTTGTTCGGCCGAGTGGCCTGTTTCCACACTGTAGGGATTCTATGATTCTATGATACCATTAGAATCTTGTTTTACTCTGGAATAGTAAGTAGTTAGAAGGGGTTTATTCGGTTTAATAGGTTAGTTAATTTGTTCACTGTTAGAGTTAGTATTGTTACTTGTTGATTATAAAGTGAGTTTCAGGGATTTCTTTTAGTTAACCGCTGAAGTCGCTGAAACGCAGGTTACAACACTTTTCATACTGCTTTTTAAACAGATTACAGGGCAAGGAGGTCCTCTTTAGGTGTTTCAGTTTTAGTTCTCGGACTGGGGGTCAACCTCTGCTTTATAACGTGTACAATAACTGAATATACTTAAAAGTGAGATAGGCAAGACTTTTGATCTCTCAGAGAATCAGGGAATTAGGGAACAAGGAGAAAGTAGAGTTGAAGCTCAAGATCATCAATGATCGTTATAAATACCAGCATGAAGAGCCATATGGTCACTTCTTGTTCCTATTTCTTATGTTTTTAGAAGGACAAAGACAGCGCATGCATGGGATAAGACCATCAGAAAGTGACCGTGACATAGTGTCAAATGAGTTTTGGATTGCTTTACCAAAGAGCTGGTATTGACCAAATATATTAAATAGTTTCATTTTGTGCTAGAAACTTCGTTCTCTCAGTCTACTCTCATCACTCATGTATACCGTCTCAAGCATGTTTCACGCTTCCTCACAACTCACTTTTTCATGTTATGTGCTTGAATTGCTCAAATTGCAATTAAAATGTATCTAGTAAATAATTAGCAATAATACCTCTGAAATTTCTGAAAACTGCGTGTTGGCTTGACAACACTTCTCTGCTGTCTCTACAGCGATTTCATAGTTATCCACAAATGCTCTGTATACCCCAAGTTGGCTGGCCTGCAAAAATATACAAAAGTTGATCACAATTTTAAACTGGTCTATCTACCAGTTAGAATGAAAGAATATGCACTTTATTTACAATATCTCAAAACATTTCACATTTTCTGTTAGAGATAGTAGGAACTGCCGATGCTGGAGTCTGAGATAACAAGGTTTAAAGCTAGATGAACACAGCAGGCCAGGCAGCATCAGAGGAGCAGGAAAGCTGATGTTTTGGGTCTGGATCCTCCTTCAGAAATTTTCTGTTAATGTTTAAGATTTGCAATGTCTACACAATTTTAGTTTTGTCATGAATTTCTGTCAGTCACATTGTTTCCTTTGAGTCATCAAGTGCAGAGTTCAAGCTCTGCTCCAGGGTTTCAACACAAAAGTCAAAACTGACACTCCAATTCAGTACTGAGTGATGAGTGCTGCCTTAACAAAGATGCTATATTTCCACTGAGGCCCATCTCACTGCTTTGGTAGATGGCACTATTTCAAAGATTTACTCTCTCCACTGTCCTGGCTAATAGTCATCCCTTTATCAACATTACAAAAGCAGATTACCCAATTGTTATACAAAATATAGCAGATGTTCAAAATCTGAAATAAAAATTTGGAATGTTGGAAATACTCAGCAAGTCTGCAGCATCTGTGGAGATAGAAACAAACACAGTTAACATTCTGAGTCAAATATGTGTCTGAGATGTGATTCCAAACAATCATATTTGACTTGAAATGTTAATTCCTACTCTCTCCACAGTCAGTGCTACACCTACTGAGTTTTCTAGCACATTGTTTTTCTTGCTGTTTCTGGGAGCTTGCTGTACCAAATTGGCTACCGTTTCCTACATTAAAACAGTGGCTGCACTTCAAAATGAATTTCATTGGCTGAAACAATTTTAAATGTCCCACTATTATAGGTGCAATCTTTTTTTACAATCACTATTATTCTATGGAAAAATGTCGCAGCCAAGTAAGATCCAAAACAGCTAATGAGACGAATCAGTTGAGGAATAAAATTTGGCCCAACGCTGAGAGAGCTCTCCAAACAAGCGATACTTATGTCCACATAACCAATCTATAATAGTTCAATGTGATGCCTGAAAAATGGCATTCCTAGCAATCCAGAACACCCCATTATTTGACTGAACTATCTGTCTAGTTGACCACCATTTGCAATACAAGTTAGGTTATTAGTGGAATCTGGCACAGCCCTTTGAAATACAAGCATCAACTGTATTGAAAGTAACTTTAAAGATAGTTTTGAAAGATGTGGTTGCCAATCCATGTGGCTTCTGCTACTGTTGTTAAAATAAGAAATTAATTTTATTTATACTACATATTACATGAACTACAGCAATATGAGCAAGAGTATCGATATTCAGCTTCCTTCATCAGAACTAGAATAAAATGTAAGTGTACAAGGACAAGGACAGTAAAGGCAGGGAACGAGGAAATTTAACAAAATATCAACACAAGAATTCATCATCAAAGAGAAAATAACAAAATTTAAATGACCTTCAAATTGAACCTAATATATTTTGGATAGTTGCTTCATGTGTACATTTGTTTTTCTTTATTACTCTCTGGTTGATTCTGTAGGACATTAAAGTTTTTAAAGTTCCAGGTGTTTACTTAATCCAATGTTGTTCTACTAAGAATCAACAGGAGAAAATTACACAAACTATCAATTATTTTGTCCTTATCGACTGAAGATCTGAAATTATCTAAAAAATAAAAACCCCTGTGCTAGAACAGAAAAAAAATGGACACAATGTATTTTAAAATACTGATTCAATCTATTTAACGATATTCTTTCTTATACACAGCAAAATATTATCCCCAACCATTACAGCAGTAGGAAGGAGAGACTCCTATTGCAATTAAACAATATTCCATCCTACGTTGCTAAATAGATGAAGGTCCATTCACAGGGTCTAGCTGTCTTCTTACAGAACTATGTAGAGTCTCAGAGATCGAATCAAGGAGATGAGTTGAGTTAATGTTTACAAGTGGTAGAGTTGGGGCATGAAACTGGAAAACTTGCTTTCCTGCAAACTGCAGTGATCGCTTATGCCTCTGAGGATTTATATTTTGACAATCCGTTAGAACCCCAATTGCCTCAAGAGTGTTTTCTATTTCCGACACTTTCAAATTAGCAGTGAGGGGCTGAAAAGACATTGCCTATCTCTGGGATTATACTGCAGTTCTAGTAACAGGCTCTTAGCATCACCAGCACGGGTAGCTTTCCTGCCCACCTTTAACTGCACTGAGTGGCTTGTTAAGCCATTTAAGATTTATCTGTCTCGAGTCATATGTAGGCCAGACCATGTAAGGATGGCAGATTTCATTCTCTAAAGCATTTTAACCACTTCCAGCCAGACATGATGATCCTTCATGGCCTCATTTTGAAGTTCCCAACAGATGTGCGACCAAAGTTAGAGCTCATGGAACAAAAGGGACAGCAGCAACATGATGAAATTGAGTGATAGGAACTAGATTTGTCATTAATGGTTGTTTTTCGGACTGGAGGAAGAAACATAGAAAATAGGAACAGCACTAGGCCATTCAGCCCTTTGCGCCAACTCTGCCATTCAATATGATCAGGCTGATCATCCAACAATAGCTTGTTCTACATTTCCCCCATATCTTTTGATCCTTTTAACTCTGAGTGCTATATCCAACACCTTTTGGACTCAACTGTTTTCAGTGGTAACAAATTCCACAGGCCCACCTGTCTTTAGGTGAGGAACTTTCTCCTCATCTTAGTCTTAATTCTGACCATCGTGACTTATGATTATACCACTGTTGCTGGATTGTCACTGAGTCAAAAACTTGGAACACTTTTCCCAACGCCACTGTGGATGTAACTATACCAGGTGAACAGCGGTGATTCAAGAACATAACGCATTACCACCACCTTCAGGCAGTTAGGACTGAGCAGCAAATAACAGCCTTGACAAAACATCCCATGATTAATATATTTTATAAAACTCTGAGAAATCCACTTCCTCAAGTCAACTTTATCTCCATGTACTGTCCTTTTCATTCCATAGTTGTTGCTGTCATCTAGCATTTTATCAAATGGCTTTTGGAATATCATATTATTAACATTATTAACAATTTTTCAACAATTCCAAATTTTGCCAAGTGGCTACGAACATTGAGATAACAAGGTGTCGAACTGGATGAACACAGCAGGCCAAGCAGCATCAGAGGAGCAGGAAAGCTGACGTTTCAGGCCTAGACCCTTCTTCAGAAATGGGGGAGGGGAAGGGGATTCTGAAATAAATAGGGAGAGAGGGGGAGGCCGATAGAAGATGGATAAAGGAGAAGATAGGTGGAGAGGAGACAGACAGGTCAGAGAGGTGGGGGTGGAACCAGTAAAGATGAGTGTAGGTGGGGAGTTAGGGAGGGGATAGGTCAGTCCAGGGAGGACGGACAGGTCAAGGGGGCGGCATGAGGCTAGTAGGTAGGAGTTGGGGGTGGGGCTTGAGGTGGGAGGAGGCATAGGTGGGAGGAAGGACAGGTTAGGGAGGCAGGGACAAGCTGGGCTGGTTTTGGGATGCGGTCAGGGGAGGGGAGATTTTGAAGCTTGTGAAGTCCACATTGATACCATTGGGCTGCAGGGCTCCCAAGCGAAATACGAGGTGCTGTTCCTGCAACCTTCGGGTGGCATCGTTGTGGCACTGCAGGAGGCCCAGGATGGACATGTCGTCTAAGGAATGGGAGGGGGAGTTGAAATGGTTCGTGACTGGGAGGTGCAGTTGTTTAGTGCGAACCAAGCGTAGATGTTCTGCAAAGCGGTCCCCAAGCCTCTGCTTGGTTTCCCCAATGTAGAGGAGGCCACATCTGGAACAGCGGATACAGTATACCACATTAGCAGATGTGCAGGTGAACATCTGCTTGATGTGGAAGGTCTTCTTGAGACCTGGGAACATTGGCTACGAACATTGTCTCGGATTATCATCTCTTGAAGCTTTCCCACCACTGAACCAACAGATCCATAATTGCCAGGTTTAGCTTTACATGCATTTTTTAAAAAGGAATTTTGTGTATCAGTCTCCCAAGTGGGACTTTGTGAAAGGCTTTGTTGAATTCTATATGAACTACATCAACTGCACTACATGCATCTATACACGAAGTCACCTCCTCAAAAAAATATTCAATCAAATGTGTGTTAGAAATGACTTCGCTTTGACAAAGCCAAGCTGATTATTCTTGTTCAAATCTGGTCTCTCCAAATAGAGATTAATTCTCTCCTTCAGAATTTTCCCCAATAATTTTCCTACCAATACTGAGAGACTCATTGGCCTGTAATTCCCAAGTTTATCCCATCACCCTTTTTCAAAAATGAGGAGAACTATATTAGCTGTCCTCCACTTCTCTGGCTGACTGACTGACTGACTGATTTATTGTCACGTGTACCAAGTACAGTGAAAAGCTTTGTTTACGAGCAGTGCAGGCAGATCATAATAAGCAAGGATGTACAGATCAAAAAGACTTAAACAGAGGCATACAGGTTACATTGCTCAGGGTGTGCGCAAGGCGAGATCAACGTTCGCAAGATCAGTATTATTTAAGACTAGAGAGTCTATTCATCAGTCTAATAATGGCCGGGAGGAAGATGTTCCTGAACCTGCTGGTGTGTGTGTGTTCAGGCTTCTGTATCTTCTACCTGACAGAAGAAGTTGTAGGAGATCATTACCGGGGTAGGATTGGTCTTTGATGATGTTTGCAGCCTTTCAGCGGCAGCAGGCTGTGTAAATGGAGTCCGTGGATGGAAGGCTGGCTTCCGTGCTAGTTTGGCTGTGCACACCACCTTCTGTAGTTTCTTACGGTCCTGGGCATGGCAGTTGCCGTACCAGGCCGCTATGCACCTCCACAGCATGCTTTCAATTATGCATCTGTAGAAACTGGTGAGGGTCCTTATGGACATGCCAAATTTCCTGAGCTACCTGAGGAAGAGGAGGCATTGTGCCTTCTTGACTGTCGCATCTACATGGGAAGTCCAG